CCTCCTTCCAAAGGGGAGCACAAGGCAGCAGTTAAACTCCCGAGCTCACGGGGCTCAGAACTCCCTTCTCTGAATGATCCTAGCCCGATTTCTTTCATGATACCTTCATTCTTCAGCACGCCCATGTCGTAGAAAGAGTGCAGGCCAAGTAATCTACCGTGGACAAGTGGAAGAATTTTTTAAAAACAGCCCAAAGCCAGACTCAGCCGCATCCTGTTGCCTCCTTCTTTAGCCCCTTGTCCTGTTAGCGCCAGGCCCTGGGACCTCAGCAAAACGACAGGAGGGGACCTGAGGATCCCTGTGATGCTGAAAGCAGGGCTCTGAGGTCAGCTTTGTGCACTCATTTCTCTGGGATATTTTCGTGACAGCAAGATGCTCAACTTCTTCCCAGCAAAGATAAAACCTGAATAAATCAAAAGTCTAACTACGGTATGCAAAAACCGAGTCTCAAATGTGCAAAACTCACATCTTAAATGTTTTGGACAGTGTTAAGGTCTTTAGATCACATAAAAGAGAAATTAAACGTAACCACCACGATGGCACCAAAGGCCTAAAAGCTCTTAGAAGGAATGCCTGCAAGAGGAAGAAAAGCAGTTTAAGATGCTTTTTCTTTTTTTTTACAGCACTGAGAACGGAGAGGATAAAAGGCTGGCAGTTAACAATGTGCCAGTTGAACACTGACTTCCTATTTCTCTCCATATTTATAAAGTGCATGTATGGGTCTGGCCTGTTGTCTGTTTAATCACTTTGTGAATATTTACAGAGCACCTGCCACGCTTCTGACGCCAAGGCTTTACGGGTCCAGCGTAAGCAGAAGCAGTCTGCCATTCAGAACCTTCTGTTCAAGGTTTCTTTCTGCTAAGGGCTGTCTGATCCCCTCTCTCTCATGGAGCACACAGCTGATAGGAGCAGGAAAGGGAACACCAGGAGACTGGGACCTCAGCACAGCGTGAGGCCGCTGCAGGATGCACAGGATCACATAGCACCCCGGGCAGAAGCCCTTTCCTCCTGACCGTTTTGTGGCTGCGGTGCTGATTCATGTGGACCTGGAAGTCTGTGTGTGATTTCGGTGCTTTGAGAAGGAAGGTTTTGGGCACAGGCTGCCCAGGGAAGGAGACACCGTAGAAGGGACATCCCTAGGTTTGAAGGTTGAAGCAGCTGTTGATTTGGCTATGAGGGACCCAACCTCTTAGAAGCAGTATTTTCATGAGATCGACGGACCAGCATGCAGGGCAAAAAACAAAAACAAAAAACCAGTTCTTGACGCACAGGTGAAAGAAGAAAATATAAGGGTAGCGAGCTGCACCGCTGAATTGCATTTCTGTCTCCTTCCACCCCTGGGCCACAGGGACTGCAGTACTCCAGATGGCCTGCAGGAGGTGCTGGTCACAGGAGGGCCCTTAGGTGACCTCTAGCTTGTAGAAAGTTTTGTTTTCTTAATTGACAACCTCCTGTCTGTTCCTATCGCCCTCTCTGTCAGGGGTTTCTCGGCACAGGGCTGGACTAGACTGAAGGACACCATACTTCATTCCATTCCTCTTTCTCTTTAGAACTTCACAAATTGACAAATCTGTGGCCCCTCCTCCAGAGACCCAAGCGATTCTGCTTTCTACTGACCTTGTTGGTGAGGGTATTCATCCTACAACGGCTGGAAACCAGTGTTTCCTTTCCGCTGCTGAGCATCGAAATGACCTCCCAGGGGCCACAGAACCCTTCCTAGTGGCCACCCAAATGGGTCACCATGTTCATACCCCGAGAGACACCACAAGCTACGGACACCATTGCCTCTTGCCTTAGGACAGACTGGTTCAGGACAGGGACCAGGTGACTCACCCCCTGCCTCGTGCTGTCTGGATCTTCTTCCTCCACTTGATCGTGAGATTCCGTGCGGAGGAGACTACGCTTTATTTCTTGCAGTGCCTGGTGTGTGGTTGATGCTCAACAAATTATCTTATAGAATATTTATCATCATTGCAATGCACATTTTGTTATAATCTTCTATGAAGTATCTCCAAAATGTCGCCAGTTCATGAGGAACGTACCTTAGGTTTCTGAGATTCAGCTACACTACATGCTTCCCTCCGGAGAGAATACATGCATTTGTGGATGAAAATGAAGTTGGTGTAGAGACCTTTCACTCAGGTGTAGAGATCCATGGCTATCTACTAGGCTGCCTAGACTTCATTTTATTTTGAAGAATGAAAAATAAAATTCAGCACAAACAATACACTTGTACAACACAGAAAAATACTTTCAAAACTAGAGAAATAGTGGAAAATTCATTTTACTCTTTTCCTTGCAATGGTTCCTATACTCACTGAGGAATATGCTAGTCTAACGGATGAAAATCAGAGAGACTTAAAAAAAACAAAATAAAGCTAGGTTTAAAAATTTCTCCTGTACAAATTGGACCCATGACTTTTCTCTGAGTCAGGTCAATGTTGGTTCCAATACTTGGCTTGTAGGAGTCACAGAATTTTGCTATTTTTTGTCCATAAACTGGCTGTCTGAATTTCACAACCGATTGCTCTCTGAGGTGCTACCATGAGCAAAATTAGCCCCCCTACCCCAGGCACTTAGCTTGGGGTAAGACTCCGGCAGAAACACCCATATAACGTGCGACTGCCTTAAATGAGAGTTATTTGTTTTAAACCTTGGTTAGCTTCTAATATGCTATCACTGAGATCACGGGATGGTGGCACTGCACGGAATCCAACTGGAGAGACTGAGTAGCTGCAGAAATGCCTTAAAAGTGAGAACCTGTAAATTATTCCCCATTTCTCCTTGTTTCTCTCTGAGCTGCTCTCAGGGGAGTCTGAAAGGAACATGCAGTTAAAACCCAGGAGCTCCCAACTTAACTTCAAGACTGAGCTCCCCAGAACTCTCTGAATTTTCCAGAGCAGGAGGCAGGCCGTTTGCATCCTCTCAGCAGTCTGCAAGCTGTTTTCCTGGGGCACAGACCTGTGAGAGTCAGTGGAGGAAGATGGGCCCCCCAGTTCCCTTAGCCTGCAGCCACGAGGCAGTGTGTTGCTGACCGGCTCCATCTACTCTGCACCTCAGATGCCTGAGCTCCCTGATCGTCTACAAGAGGGGCTGGTTGGGGGCCTTTGGAGGCACTCAAAAGAGAAGAATTTTATGATTTTTATTTAAGAAGGCTTGGAGAAAGCATCTCACTGTAGCAAAATCCCACATTTAAAGAACAAAACACTGGAAAGAGTTCTCTTAAGGCACTGCCACCCTCAGTCCTTGCCTATAGCTTTTCATTTTTGTTGGCAGTGACCTTGGGGCTTTGGTTAGCGCCACTAATCCTGATTGTTTGTCACCTCAGAAAGTTCCTTCCAAAGTGAAGGCCGGAGCCACCCACTGAGACTTGAGTGTCCCCCGCAGTGGTGAAAGCTTTCACAGGGGTTCACGCTTGTGCCACAGCAGGACAGGGGGAGAAATCTACAGCCTCTGAGGGGCGCAGGAGCCCAGAGGGTGGACCAGCAGCAGGAACCAGGACACAGGCCACTCCTGCAAGTCTCAGGAGGGAGCTGGAAAACCCAGAGGGATCTGGCTTAGTGTTGCACATGGGGGGTCCTGGGGGCAAATGTTTTCTCTGAATGACTTGGATCAGGACGCAGCTGGCAGCACGATGGCAGGGTGCACCCCAGCGCCAGCCAGCCCTGGTGCTGTCCACCGTGCACCCCCATCCTCCGCACCCCTCACCCTATTTTCTTTGGGGTGATGATGGGGAATAGTCTGAGAAAAGTGTGATGCATTTCTTAATAAAAAGAAGGAAAACAAGGATTATAAGTGACCTTGAAGCTGGGAATATTTGGCTGGTTCCTTGTTGATTGCTGCCACTGATTGCTGGGAACAGAGCAAGAGCGCGTTGCTAACTCATTGTTTGAACACTGTACTGGGCTCACAGGGATTCGGCATTTCTGCGAGAGCGACTTCACTGGACCCTCACCTTGCTTTTCTCTGTGCTAAAGGAGCCATGCTGCTGATGTCCTGGATTTACTATTTGTAGTTTCTTACTGCAGGGCTCAGGTAAAAAACCTGCATTCGGGTTGAGTTTTTGTCCAACTGCATTTACCAAGGCCTGAACCAGGAAGTCCTACACCAACAGGGGTTTTCGCCTGGTTTCGTCTATTTTTGTTAAGAGTAGACAGAGAATGGACATTCTCGACCCAGCATGCCCACAAGGGGCAGCGTTAATCAAGGACAACACTCAATGCCAACGGAAGGACAAAGGGGGGAAAGTACTATTTTTCCAAAGCCTTAAATTGTAGTGGAGATAGGAAACAGATTTTAGGATTACAAATGCATCTCTGGTTTTCCTTGTCTGATCATTTTAGCACACTTAAATGCTTTTAATTTAATATTTGAAAATGGAAGTTCTATTTTCTTGCTCCTTTACCTCACTTGGTAAAAGATATTTCAGTTCTACTTTTCAATGAGCAATTATATTAGGGATACGTGTGCAATCATCTTTAAGACTAAAAACAAGTTCCTGTTGGTTTATTACCCCCGTTCAGGGCAGTTTTGCTTCCCGAAGGCGGTGTTCCAGGTCAGGTTCAGAAGCAATAGAGCTGTGTGATGTCTGAATAGTTCAAAGTCTAAGTAAGATGGACACAGATTAGCCAGATGCAAATAGCATTCCTGGTCAAAAATATACACATTTTGAAATTACCTAGTATGCAGATGACCTGTGTGGTCTAGAGAGCTGTGATTATCGTGAGAAAGCTTTTATGACAAAGTATGGTAAGTCTTGTAAGTAGTTCTTTAAATGCCTGAAACCAGTGTATGTTTGACTTAAAAAAATGCAGTAATTCTGCTAGTGATTTTCAGCACTTGGTCGTTCCACTCGTGAGCTTTTCCAATCCCTCCCACTCCATCTGACTGACCCACCTCTTAGGAACAGTTTCCTCGGCAGGAAAATTCCAGTAGAGACTCAGACAGAGGCTGAACCCCCTGGACCCATCGTGAATTCCTCTTTGTTGTTTCTCTCTCTCTCAAAGGCATGCCGCTGGATTTGTTTATTATTGTTAACATAAATCACATTCTAGTCTCAGGCGACCAACCAATAATACATCCTGCCCTCCCCAAAAGTCAATACTCAAAAATCAATTGTTGATTTTGAGTAACCCATAGAATAGAGTTTTTATCCCTCAAGTGATCAATGATTCAATTCAGGGAACCTTAACAACAACAATAACAAAAACTTCTTTTCAGTATGCAGCCCAGTAACACATTGACATTGACATTGTGGTACTCTGGCATATTGGGTTTCTTTTCCTGTTGGTAAGGGCCCCTTTTCCTCTTTCCCTCATTTCTGAACTGCTAAACAAGAATTATTAAAGCATTGAGCCCCGACACGGCTGTCACCGAGAGTGGCCAGGTGTGTACTAGTGTCTCCATCTCCTTAGATCAGGGCCTCCTTAGATCAGGGCCTCTCGTGCCCTGAGGTCAGTGTGGAAACCTGACAGAGGAGAAAGACACGGGGAGCTTCTCCCCACCCCACCCCCCCCATGAAAAATTAAAGCACACTGATGTGATGATTTGAGATGTTTCATTGTCATCAAGCTACATTCATGCATTTGTTTTTCCTTTCAGTGATCTTGCAAGGCCAGGGAGGCCTTCACTCTTGGTTAGTGATGACCACTCTAAATTCCCGGGTACAGCAGGGTGGCATGAGGTTTTGATAAGGAAAACCAGGCTCTGAATGACATTTCTCATCGGCAACTTTCAATATATGAAATACACTCCGTAGGCTAGTCTGGTAGGCTAGTCTGGTAACCGTTAGCTAACTGTCAAAGCCTATAAAGTCATGGTATTGTGTCACCCTGATATAAGGCAACATAAAAATTAGTGCATCATCTATAAAATGAAGCATCATTTGCCTTCAAGTGACAAATTCTATGCCAAAAAATACCACTGTACTTCTAGTAAGTGACACTCATTTTTAATAGACCCTATAAAAATACAATATTTTCAGTGTCCCCATAAAACATTAACTTACAAATATTATTCTCAGAGCTCAGGTGTCATTGATACGGGATTCTACTGTAAATACACATTGGAAGCACTCTCATGTAAAGCAAGTCCACTGTGCATGTATATAAGCTAATAGAAATGAGGAGGGGAATGCATATGACCAGTTCTGGAGAATTCCTCAGGAATTTCCAATTAATATTTTAATCCAATTATAAATAATGGATAGAGACGTGTTTTTAAAGGATTGTAAAGTGAATTTTGATCACTCATAACAAAAAAATAGTTCCAACATCAAAGTAAATGATTTCTGCATTAAATATGCTTGTCTAGGGAGAATATTCAAAATGCTATATGCCCTGGAACTTTGGGAAGGAGAATATTTGATGTGTTTCTGTTTACAAAAGTTGGCATTGAAATTAATAATACAAATAAACCGCAGCTCTGAGACATTATATTTGAAGTTTCATATTTAAATACTGAAGTGTTTAAATTACCCACCATAACTGTCTGAAAAGTCTTGCTTAATAATAAGTTGCTTAAGTCGCAAATTAAATAAAGCAGCACACAAAATAAATTCCACGTCGGCAAGGAAAGAAGTAACAGGGCTACAGTTATAATCAACATAAAATTGAAAGAAATAAAACAATCCCTTTCCTGCCACCCATCATTCACTGCTCGAGTTTATGGCGAAAAAGGTCCTATCTACAATGATTTTTGGTCTATTTCTTAACTCCGCATATATTATAATTAGCTAAAGGCATATTGAACAAATTAGTTTGTCCTATCTTATTCAGGTCCCAGAGATAAGTGGATCATTTATGAAATATTTCACTCTGTGTTATGAGAATTTAGCAAATGAATGCGGAACCAAATATAAACACTTTTTACCATATGTACAGTTACTTTCATAAGGCATTATCATGTAATTTTTATTGAAAAAGATTCGATATAGTAAAGTCGTCTTATTTTAAGATATATTTTCTTTCTCAATCCGAGATGTTTAGTTTATGAAAATATTGTTTTTTTTCTATATTCTTTTTGTATATATGCCAACATATACCTTGTGCTAGAAATATTTTATGGGAATTACAATTCTTTATACTTGTATTTTCTATAGAAAGGCATATACAACTTTGAGGCAGTGTTTCTGATGGCGAGCAGAATTCATAAAGAGCTTGTGTGTGCTTCCGTGCTCTGAAATTATATGAAATCTACTTTGAGAAGGAACTGATTTTGATTAAAAAAAAGAAACCAAAACAAAACTGCACCAATGCACAGCCAGAGGCTGACAATTAAAACTTGTACATAACCACATGAACGTCGTATTTATAGAGTGAACATTTTTAAGGGTGATCAGTGCTGACATACAGTATTATACATTTGGCACTAACGTTTGCCATTGGTCCAGCAATTGGCAAAATTTGTCTCTATGTATAAATTTCTTTTTGAACATTAGATCTGGCTAGACATATCTTCACTATTTATAAAAAATATTTAGACAGTAAGCTCACGTTGAATAACTAGGTCTACTGTATTCTGGAAACTCTTCAGTAGTAATACAGCTTTTTCGTGTTCCATATGTACAAAACTGTGTCCATTCGCCTGCAAATACATAAATACAACAGGTCAAGCAATGCAAACCATCATCACTGCATCACGTTGTAAGAACCAAGGAAGCGTCAAGCAACGCATTTATCGGTTCCAAAACTGACAATGGAATTATAACTATAGGAGTAATTAATTTTATCATATTTAACCCAATTTATTAATTGCACAAGTATTCATCAAACACTCAGTGTGTCTTTTCCCTAATCATAAAGCCGCATTAGTGAGTGGTAGCTGTCCTTAGGAAGTCACCATGTTCTTCTTTGGAACCTGAGATTGAACTCAGGATCTCGTGCTTGCCAGGCAGGCACTTACACCGCTGAGCTAAATCCCTGGATCACCATTCATTTTTGCTTTTGTTTTCCGACCTGCTTTCATAGGTGACCAGTTGAGCCATTAGCTCAGTGTAATATCAGCACTGACACAGCCTCGCCAACATGTCACATAGTCACGCTAAACACTCGTGAGCACTTAGAGTATTGCTAAATCTTATTCGGACTCTATGAAAAGCTCTTGGTTTATGCATTCTTCTATGAAATAAATTCTTTTTCACTCCCCTTTCCTCCATCAGTAAATGCAAGTATCTTCAGTATCTATACTAGTGGCCCTTGACCTAGCAGAGAGTAAACCTAAGGTGTCTCTCCCTCAGGCATGTGCACGCTGACATTAGCAATGGGACACACTTCCGTCTCCTAGTTAACAACCTGCAAGAGAAGCAAGCGCGATTTATGCTAAACACAATGGCGCTAAGTTTATACTTTCAAGAATCCAATGCACTATTATCTAGTATTTGTTTCATGAAATATGTTTTCCTTGGTCATAAGTACTAATGGTTCCTTGCATTTCTCTGCATTAAACAGTAAATTACTGGAATGATTATTTTTAATAATAGGTAGAGAGGAGGATTCTGTAACCCTTGGCTCTTGTGAAGCCCAAATTAAAACACAACCTTTCTGTTGGAATAACTCAGTGACCGGCAGTTATATTACTGTTTTCCCTGTAGTTTGAGACTCAGTTTCAAAAGGAAGTTTCAGTTGAATCGACTGTTTGGCCAAGTACAGGAGATAGAGCCACTTAACTGGTCATCTCTTTCAGTTGTCAAGGAACTGATGTTTACATCGGGCTCACGCCGCCTTTGCTATTTTACTTTCTTTTTATGCTTTCATAAAATATGATCACTAGTTTAACAGATCATGTAAAAGTTAAAATGCTTTCCTGCCTTTACCTTCTTCCATTCTGGAAGAGCAGTGCATCCTTCGCAGTACTGTAGAGTTTATAGAACTCAGGTGAAAGTCAGCTGACGCTGCTTATCACTGACAATATTTTCCCATTAGTTCATTAAAGCTGACTGGATAATGGTGGGATAAAGAAGGTTCTAAAGTACTGCATGTTAGAACTTTGCACAGGACATCTGTCAATATATGAAAATGTCAGGAAACCAAATGCAGACCCTTGGAGATCCATATAATTTGAATGAGTTAATGAAACTCGGTGTATACATTTACATTCATAATAAATGCAGAAAACATTTATTAATAATGCTGTTTATTGAGGTTGGCATTTGCTGTTTCAGGAGACAGTAGTTGAGCAGAATTTGGGGTGTGATCCACAGCTCCGATTTATTGCTTTAAATTACAGTAAAAATTAGACATTGAGACTTCCTCTGATGTTATTTCCAGTTAGATGGTGAGTGGGTGCAGAAAACGCTGCATGGGGTATATTCATCTCTTTATACTTACCCAAGGTTGACAGCAGAAAAGATGCAAACTTGCCTGAAATATGTATTTATCCCACTACTAGCTAGGGATGAATGTCCTCAGAAAAAATACTCTGATTGTGAAATTAAAATTTAACTTTAAATAATGAAGGCTTTTTCTTTTGAGATAGGGTCTTGCTATGTAGCTCAGGTTAGCTTTGAATCTACTATGGTGATCTTCCTGCCTCAATGTCCTAAGTGCTGGGATTACAAGGACACAAAACCACATCCAGAAATAATGGAGCTCTTGCATGTCAAAGTGAACCCCACCTTTGTGAGTTCTCAGATTCCTGTATGTGTAGTTTCAAACCTTTAGTTATGATGAACCCCAAATCCACTGAGGATTTCCAGGGAGTTGTTTACAACAAATATCTTAGAGTTTTAAGGATGAAGGCTTCTCTGTGGTCCTCTATGCCATGAATGCTAAGCTGCTCATCACTGGACCTGGTATAATAGTAACCCTAAAAAAGGCACTAATGTTCATGTTGAGGTGAATGTGGTAGGAAGCTCAGCAAATGAATTATAGCTGTTATTTTTGAAAGATATGAGGTATATTTAAACAATGTGATGACTATCTCAGCTAAAAATCTTATTACAAGTTGGGTATGGTGGCATACTCCTGTAGTCCCAGAACACTGGAAGCTGAGGAAGGAGGATTACCCTGAGTTCAAGGCCAGCTTGGGCTACATAAGTGAGTTCAAGGCCAGCCTGCAATACCTAGCCAGATCCTGTCTCAAACCAAACCAAACCAAACCAAACCAACCAAAAAAATCTTATAGTAAAAGGCAAATTGCCACTGATCCATTTCAAATATACTCATCCCATCATTCCTGTAACTTTCTGAAGTAGTTCTAGAAGACTTCTTTTGTGAGTGTCTCTGGCTGTGCTGTGGTGGCTGCCTCTGTGTCTTGAATTGATTCAGGATGTTAGCCCCTCAGGGTCATCTGGCCTTTGGGGAAGGGCCAGAAACCACACACTGGCAGATGCAGTAGATGAGGTGGAGTATGACACACCGTTGTTTTTCTATGAGCTTGCTTTTCTGTTGGGCAGCGATGGGCAGCAGCATTTACTGTATTTTTGATCGCATCTTATAAAGATACCCAGGAAAGAGGACTTCCAGAACTGCTTCAAAAAATGGCAAGAATGGTGAGATAAATGTGTTTGGCGTGAGAGAGAGCATTTTGAGAGATGTTAATAGCAATGTGATTTGTACTGTAAGGAATTTTTAAAAAATTTAAACATTCATGTGTCTTCAGATCTTCTCTTGTATTTTATTGAAAGATCGTTAAAGTTGGTAAACTTTCAATATAATTTTTCATTTTTTTTCCAAATCAAGTGTCTGATGGGTCCTGATAGCCTGAGGCATTGGGATGGGCGATGGGGACAAGAAGGGAGAGACAGAAGAGGGAGGGTCCCAGCAGACAGGCAGCCATCCCGGAGAGAAGCAAGCCAGGCACGGCTAAAGCCAGATGTGAAATGCCTCACACACAGCAAGCCCTCAGCAAACCCAGAGGGAAGCGTGGGGGAGCTCAGGGTCAGGCGAAGGCCAGAAGGCAAACTTGCAAGACAGAAGAGTGTCCAGGAGCTGAGGTCCACTCCTGTCTCCCCAGCCTTCAGTCTGAATATTTCTGGTCAACTCTGCAGAATTCCATTAGTGCAGTGGAAGTGGTTTTTAAATGCGCCACGTGTGTAGACATTTTGAGAAGAATTTTTTTAAACACGCAGAACAAAACAACTCAAAAAACCAAACCTACAAATTTAGATCATAGCCTTTAGCATAAAAGGAAATCCGAGGTCGTGAGTTTGACCCCAATACAAAAAAAAAAAAAAATCATAAAAATAAGCTAAAATGGAGGGGGATTTTTTTTTTTTTTAATGGAGGGGATTATTAAAAGAAGGCAGTTAGTTCAAATAACCTGTGCTTCAAAAACAAGAGCAGTAACGGTATGGAAAGCACTTAAGAGAGCAAGAGTGAGAGAGAAGAGAGAGGACACAGCGGGAGGCGGGAAGAGAGGAGCAGACTGGAGAGAGGCTTGCACCCAGAGGCCAGCTTGCTGGCTCACACCCTAAACCTCTAAGGCTCACAAAACAGTGTGAGAAACCTCTGTGCAAGCCAATCTTATCTTCATAAATGCAAAAGCCACACCCCAGAGAAACTGAGGCACTTGCCTGCAGTCACACAGCCAGGGAATGGGGGAGGGCTGGGCCAGCCAATGCCATCCCATTCCTTTTGACATTTCTCTTAATGTTGATGTGGCACCTCAGCAAAGTAACAGGACGGAGTCACTTCGAACTGATGCTTCCCAGGCTATGGTACATGCTCAGCCCTTCCCCCTTCACATAGTGGCCGCACCACCTCCAAGCCTAATTCGGTCCTTTCCACTGGGTGCAAAGCCCTGGTTCGCTGATTCCTATCAGGTTAATTTAATTAATTCCAGAAATGCTGCTGGAAATAACACTCAGCCCTGAATTAAAAGCCACAGAAACGCTGAATCTTTCATTCTTTTTATAACTGGGTTATTGCAGTTCTCTCTGAACTTTCCTTTTCAAAAGTAGAAAGACCAAACCAGACTCTGCTAGAGCAACTCCCAGACACACACCAGAAAAAGGATTAAAAAGAATACTTTTAGAAAGTAGCAGCGATAAATTTGGCTCCTCATTAGACAAGAGTGAATAAAGCAAGTAAGATTCAAATAATAATTCCAGGAGTGGAAAATTTAAATCTTAGAGAAACGGCAAACTCCAATAAGGAGAGATCATACAGTGTTTGGTATCCGAGACCCATACAGAGGAACTGCAGGTCCTGTATTTCCAAATGAGAGAGCAGAGTTCAGAGCGGCAGCCCTGGCAACAGAGGTTTATAGAAAATAAATTTTGAAGCGAGCCTCATACGGGAAGGGAACTCTTAGTAGGGAAGCAGGCGGGAGTTGCAGGATTGGAAGCAGAGAGCAGAGCTGAAAGCCAGGGTTGCCTGTTGACTGGACATCCAGGAAAATCTGCCTGAATTAGGAAGTGGTCTAACAGGGACCCATTGCCTCCTGCCAGGGGTGGCAGACAGCCGGCTCTACCTGACAGGCAGGCTGCAAGACAAAGCTTTCCATGGGGAACCATGCACCAAGGGGAGGGCCAGGGAAGTCTGGATTCCTAGGAGACTCAGGCAGGAGGGCACTTGGGAAAGGCCATCCTGAAGACAGATGGAGGTAGAACATAGCAACTGGAAATCTAGGACAAGCAAATATTT